GAGGTTTGTAGTCTCTGGCCCCCTAGACTGTTCTCCGTCTGCGGTCTTCTTCGCCCTTCCCCAATCTTCATGACTTTCCACTTGGTGGGGTTGAACTCCAGGAGCCAATTGCTGGACCAGGTCTGCAACCTTTGTAGTTCTGCATGGTCTTCGACCGAACGAGTTCTTCTCATCAACTTCACGTCATCTGCAAGCAGGGACACTTCGGAGTCTATTCCTTCCGTCAAGTCGTTCACAAATACCAGAAACAGCACTGGTCCTAGGACTGATCCCTGTGGGACCCCGCTGGTCACATGCACCCACTCTGACAACTCGCCACCTATCATGACGTGTTGCTGTCTTCCTGACAAGTATTCCCTGATCCATTGTAGTGCCTTCCCTCTTATCCCTGCCTGTTCTCCAGTTTTTTTGCATTAATCTCTTGTGTGAAACTGTGTCAAACGCCTTCTTACAGTCCAAGAAAATGCATTCTATTCACCCCTCTCTCTCTTGTCTTACTTCTGTCACCCTGTCATAGAACTCCAGTAGGTTTGTGACACAGGATTTACCGTCCCTAAAACCATGTTGGCTGCTGTTGATGAGATCATTCCTTTCTAGGTGTTCCACCACTCTTCTCCTGATAATCTTCTCCATGACTTTCCATACTATACATGTCAGTGACACTGGTCTGTAGTTTAGTGCTTCAAGTCTGTTCCCTTTTTTAAAAATTGGGACTACATTTGCTGTCTTCCATGCCTCAGGCATTCTCCGTGTTTAGATAGATGTGTTGAATATTGTTGTTAAGGGTACACATAGGGCCTCTGCTCCCTCTCTCAGGACCCATGGAGAGATGTTATCCGGCCTCATTGCCTTTCAGGTATCTTGCTCACTCAGAAGCCTCTTCACTTCTTCCTCGGTTGTGTGTACTGTGTCCAGCACTTGGTGGTGTACCCCACCTCTCTGTCTTTTTGGAGCGCCTTCTGTCTCCTCTGTGAACACCTCTTTGAATCTCATGTTGAGTTCATCACTTACTTCACTGTCGTTTCTTGTTGTCTCTCCTCCTTCCTTCCTTAGCCTAAGTACCTGGTCCTTGAGTGTTGTGTGTGTGCGTGTGTGTGCGTGCGTGTGTGTGTGTGTGTGTGTGTGTGTGTGTGTGTGTGTGTGTGTGTGTTGTGTGTGTGTGTGTGTGTGTGTGTGTGTGTGTGTGTGTGTAGTGGCAGGTTCTACGCTATGTAATCTAGCCAACCTGGTTTATCTTGTATTATCTTACAAGCAACATTTCTGCAAGCTTCCAGTGTTGTGTGGTGGGAGGGAACGACTCTTGTGTGTATGACTTCTAACTTGTCAGAGTTTGTGTAGCAAACATTTCTCATATATAAGCTTGTCTGCGTTTTTAAGAGTGAAATGTACGTAATTTACATGATAGAGAAATATTAACGTATAATATTGCATAATATTGTTGTGTAGTAGGTTGGTAGACAGCAACCACCCAGGGAAGTACTACCGTCCTGCCAGATGACTGTGAAGCAGAAACCTGTAACTGTTTTACATGATGATAGGAATGCTGGTGTCTTTTTCTGTCTCATAAACACGCTAGATAACAGGGATATCTTGCTACTCCTACTTACACTTTGGTCACACTTCACAGACACGCACATGCATATATATATACATACATCTAGGTTTTTCTCCTTCTTCTAAATAGCTCTTGTTCTTCTTTATTTCTTCTATTGTCCATGGGGAAGTGGAAAAGAATCTTTCCTCCGTAAGCCATGCGTGATGTATGAGGCGACTAAAATGCCGGGAGCAATGGGCTAGTAACCCCTTCTCCTGTAGACATTTACTAAAAAAGAGAAGAAGAAAAACTTTATAAAACTGGGATGCTTGAATGTGCGTGGATGAAGTGCGGATGACAAGAAACAGATGATTGCTGATGTTATGAATGAAAAGAAGTTGGATATCCTGGCCCTAAGCGAAAAAGAGCTGAAGGGGGTACGGGAGTTTCGGTGGGGGGAAATAAATGGGATTAAATCTGGAGTATCTGAGAGAGTTAGAGCTAAGGAAGGGGTAAAGGTTGGATGCGAAAAGTGGGTCATAATAAGCGTGTATGCACCTGGAGAAGAAAGGAATGTAGAGGAGAGAGAGATTTTGGGAGATGTTAAGTGAATGTATAGGAACCTTTGAACCAAGTGAGAGAGTAATTGTGGTAGGGGACCTCGAATGCTAAAGTAGGAGAAACTTTTAGAGAGGGTGTGGTAGGTAAGTTTGGGGTGCCAGGTGTAAATGATAATGGGAGCCCTTTGATTGAACTTTGTATAGAAAGGGGTTTAGTTATAGGTAATACATATTTTAAGAAAAAGAGGATAAATAAGTATACAAGATATGATGTAGGGTGAAATGACAGTAGTTTGTTGGATTATGTATTGGTAGATAAAAGACTGTTGAGTAGACTTCAGGATGTACATGTTTATAGAGGGGCCACAGTTATATCAGATCACTTTTTAGTTGTGGCTACACTGAGAGTAAAAGGTAGATGGGATACAAGGAGAATAGAAGCATCAGGGAAGAGAGAGGTGAAGGTTTATATACTAAAAGAGCAGGCAGTTAGGGTAAGATATAAACAGCTATTGGAGGATAGATGGGCTAATGAGAGCATAGGCAATGGGGTCGAAGAGGTATGGGGTAGGTTTAAAAATGTAGTGTTAGAGTGTTCAGCAGAAGTTTGTGGTTACAGGAAAGTGGGTGCGGGAGGTAAGAGGAGCGATTGGTGGAATGATAATGTAAAGAGATTAGTAAGGGAGAAAAAGTTAGCATATGAGAAGTTTTTACAAAGTAGAAGTGATGCAAGAAGGGAAGAGTATATGGAGAAAAAGAAAGAGGTTAAGAGAGTGGTGAAGCAATGTAAAAAGAGAGCAAATGAGAGAGTGGGTGAGATGTAATCAACAAATTTTGTTGAAAATAAGAAAAAGTTTTAGAGTGAGATTAACAAGTTAAGGAAGCCTAGAGAACAAATGGATTTGACAGTTAAAAATAGGAGAGGAGAGTTATTAAATGGAGAGTTAGAAGTATTGGGAAGATGGAGGGAATATTTTGAGGAATTGTTAAATGTTGATGAAATAGGGAAGCTGTGATTTCGTGAATAGGGCAAGGAGGAATAACATCTTGTAGGAGTGAGGAAGAGCCAGTTGTGAGTGTGGGGAAGTTCGTGAGGCAGTAGGTAAAATGAAAGGGGGTAAGGCAGCTGGGATTGATGGGATAACGATAGAAATGTTAAAGCAGGTGGGGATATAGTTTTGGAGTGGTTGGTGCTATTATTTAATAAATGTATGGAAGAGGATAAGGTACCTAGGGATTGGCAGAGAGCATGCATAGTTCCTTTGCATAAAGGCAAAGGGGACAAAAGAGAGTGCAAAAATTATAGGGGGGTAAGTCTGTTGAGTATACCTGGTAAAGTGTATGGTAGAGTTATTATTGAAAGAATTAAGAGTAAGACGGATAATAGGATAGCAGATGAACAAGGAGGCTTTAGGAAAGGTAGGGGGTGTGTGGACCAGGTGTTTACAGTGAAACATATAAGTGAACAGTATTTAGATAAGGCTAAAGAGGTCTTTGTGGCATTTATGGATTTGGAAAAGGCGTATGACAGGGTGGATAGGGGGGCAATGTGGCAGATGTTGCAGGTGTATGGTATAGGAGGTAGGTTACTGAAAGCAGTGAAGAGTTTTTAGGAGGATAGTGAGGCTCAAGTTAGAGTATGTAGGAAAGAGGGAGATTATTTCCCAGTAAAAGTAGGCCTCAGACAAGGATGTGTGATGTCACCATGGTTGTTTAATATATTTATAGATGGGGTTGTAAGAGAAGTAAATGCGAGGGTCTTGGCAAGAGGCATGGAGTTAAAGGATAAAGAATCACACATAAAGTGGGAGTTGTCACAGTTGCTCTTTGCTGATGACACTGTGCTCTTGGGAGATTCTGAAGAGAAGTTGCAGAGGTTGGTGGATGAATTTGGAAGGGTATGCAAAAGAAGTAAATTAAAAGTGAATACAGGAAAGAGTAAGGTTATGAGGTTAACAAAAAGATTAGGTGATGAAAGATTGGATATCAGATTGGAGGGAGAGAGTATGGAGGAGGTGAATGTATTCAGATATTTGGGAGTGGACGTGTCAGCGGATGGGTCTATGAAAGATGAGGTGAATCATAGAATTGATGAGGGGAAAAGAGTGAGCGGTGCACTTAGGAGTCTGTGGAGACAAAGAACTTTGTCCTCGGAGGCAAAGAGGGGAATGTATGAGAGTATAGTTTTACCAACGCTCTTATATGGGTGTGAAGCATGGGTGATAAAAATGTTGCAGCGAGGAGAAGGCTGGAGGCAGTGGAGATGTCATGTCTGAGGGCAATGTGTGGTATGAATATAATGCAGAGAATTCAAAGTTTGGAAGTTAGGAGGAGGTGCGGGATTACCAAAACTGTTGTCCAGAGGGCTGAGGAAGGGTTGTTGAGGTGGTTCGGACTTGTAGAGAGAATGGAGCGAAACAGAATAACTTCAAGAGTGTATCAGTCTGTAGTGGAAGGAAGGAGGGGTAGGGGTCCGCCTAGGAAAGGTTGGAGGGAGGGGGTAAAGGAGATTTTGTGTGCGAGGGGCTTGGACTTCCAGCGGGCATGCGTGAGCGTGTTTGATAGGATTGAATGGAGACAAATGGTTTTTAATACTTGACGTACTGTTGGAGTGTGAGCAAAGTAACATTTATGAAGGGATTCAGGGAAACCGGCAGGCCAGACTTGAGTCCTGGAGATGGGAAGTACCGTGTCTGCACTCTGAAGGAGGGGTGTTAATGTTGCAGTTTAAAAGCTGTAGTGTAAAGCACCCTTCTGGCAAGACAGTGATGGAGTGAATGATGGTGAAAGTTTTTCTTTTTCGGGCCACCCTGCCTTGGTGGGAATCGGCCATTGTGTTAAAAATAATAAAATAAAAATATTGCGTCACGCTAAGGAGCTGTCAATATTTTTTTTTCTTATTTCAGTGTGTGCTCTCTTCCATTACTTTAGTGGCATTAAGAGGAACGTTCCGGCGAATCAATGACTTGAGGAACGTGTGGCCCGTGTCTAAGATTGATGCTATGATGTGGATTATATCTTTTCTTGGTGTGGTTATCGTTGACATTGATTACGGCCTCTTGATCGGCGTACTAACCTCCATGTTGATCCTCATGGGGCGTTCTCAAAAGCCCAAAACTGCTCGTCTGGGTCGCGTTCCGAGCACTGACGTATATTTAGACGTCAACCAGTATTTTGTGGTAAGTTTTTATATTGGTTTAGAACCAACTTGTCGGTATTTGTTACCAAGGTTTATACCAAGTTCTTATATTAATATAAATATGTAATAAGAAGCATTCTCATTTAATTATATATATAACTAACAAAAAAGGCACAATACCGTGACTGGAACAATACATAAATAATCCGCATATATGCGGGTTATTTGTGCATATGTAAAGTAAAAGGACACAAGTGCAACTAATGTGACATTTTATTGTGGCAACGTTTCGCTCTCCAGGAGCTTTGTCAAGCCTTATCAAAACCACCACTACCCAAAGCTACCCATGAATTTACTTCTGTACCCACGACGTGTCAACGGCTTTGAGGGGACTTGAGCTAGAGTTCGTCACGGCCACGCTAGCTGGAGATTCGTCTGTAGAAACTTGCATTTGTGGTCACAGTGGTGCCTATGCTAACCTTCCTATGGTGTAGAAATATACCTAGTTGGACGAATCTTATTGTGGCTAGCTGGTCCAGTGGCTAACGCGACGGTCTGGAGTTTTGAGACCCTCTGATCGCGAGTTCTATCCCCACCCGTGGTATGGTATGTTGATAGCAATTTTGAGAGAGTGTAACTACCGGACCTGTGTTGGATAGTGTTACTGACAGCAATAAGGGCAGCTTGTATGCACTTTCGCCGTCTTAAATCGTCTTCCTTGATCACTAGTTTAGCCTCACTGAATGAGGTGTCCAACATCGTCCCTATGTTGAACACACGCGTTTTTACGGTCATCATTGCTGCAAGTATTTTTGTGTTCTTTGATCCTAATGTCCAGAGATCTGGCTGTTTCCCTAACATATACTTTTTCACACGCCCACATGTATGTTGCATACTCCTGAACTTGTGCCAGAGTCATTAGGATCAGAGAACACGAAAACGCTTGTGACAATAATGACCGCAAAAACGCGAGTGTTCAATATACGGACGATGTTGGACACCTCATGAAATTCAGTGAGGCTAAACTAGTGATTAAAGAAGACTATGCAAGATGGCGAAAGTGCATAGAAGCTGCCCTAACTGCTGCCAATAACACTATCCATCATAAGTCCGGTAGTTACACTATCGCAAAATTGCTATTCAACAAGATATTACCCATTTTGGAGACCTCTGTAACATGATGTCTAGATGAATGGTTCAGAGAACCGACAAGTTGTTGAATTAGACACATGTGCAACTCTTGGGTTGCACATGTGTCTAATTCAACAACGTGATGTCTACAGGTTCTTCTCTAACCCAACCTGTCTCACCACATTTATTACTACTCCCACTACTGCTGCTACTACTACTACTACTACTACTACTACTACTACTACTACTACTACTACTACTACTACTACTATTACTACTATTACTACTACTACTACTACTACTACAACCCACAAGACACTCCACCTAACTCCTGCCACACTATATATACGCGTTTTCTTAGTTTTCTCTGTATTAGGACTGAAGAAGCCACTCGTGGCAAAACTTTTCCTTTAATAAATGTCCTGAACTGAACATAAGTGTCTATTTCCACATCTTGTCGGTATCACCATACCATTTCTCACCATTGTTATCAGGTTGTTGGAGACATGACGGGACCGGTGCAAATCTGTTCTTCCCTGTGTGTCGTTTTCTTTTATGACGAAAATTCTGCTATTCTTGTTTCTTAGTGGTTGTTAGAATTACGGTATATCACGCAAGAGTTGCTAATTCTAACACTAATTGTTTTATCAACAAGTTACCAAGTCCTAATTGACCTTTTATTACTAAGTTCAAAATTTACTGTACATATTTTTTTCTTGACAGACACTCGAAATTCCAACTGTGAGAATATTTCAGTTTTGCGGATCATTACACTTCGCAAATTGTGAATATTTCCGTCAACAACTGATATCTGTTACTGGCCTAGACCCGTACGTGATTGCTACCACCAAGTCCTTAGAACAAAAGTACCAGCAGATGCCAATAAGTTGTATCACCCCGTCGAGGAAGGTACGATTTACTTTTTTTTCTTTAGTTCAAATAGTAGACTGCAAGTTCTTAAAGGAACTTTTTCAAGAGTAACTTTATTTTTGCATTACTTATAAGTTTGTTTAGTGATGGTGTTTTTCGTCCCAGTTAAAGCTTGTTTAGTGATGATGTTTTTCTGCATTGCTTCGTTTGGATCCACTGAAAAAGTTAGTTCACATAGCTTAGCAATCATGTAACCTAAAAATTATTTTTTTTTTCTTATTAGTTAAGATCAATTCTCAGATTAATTTAGAAGGCAGAGAGATGCTGACCAGCATGTTAGGTTAACTATAAAACATGTCAAGTCTTATGACTTAAAGAACCTTGTCTTTTTTAGGAGAGTTGCTTATGTAAGTAATTTTTCACTCTGTATATGTTTTCTCAAGTCATTTTCGCTCTGGTTGGAGCTTTGCAAAGTCATGTTTCGCTCTATGAAACATGATTTGTAAACAAGAGCGAAACAAGTCATGTTTTGCTCTTAGTAGAGCTTTAATTAAGTTTTATCAAGATTTTATAAAGTAATACACAGATGGAGAAACATAGTGCCTATGAATACCTAGTCTACAATTTGCGTCTTAGTCCGTATTAAACTTTACTAGAGTGATGATACAGGTCAGTACTGATGTAGGTTCTGGGCTTCTGGATGACGTCCCTTCATTATAGTTGTAATCAGAACCGAGACAATCTGAGAGACAATTTCTCCTCTCATAACAACACAAAGTCAATACTTATTATATAAATATTATATAAATATTATTAGTATTATAAAAAACACAGAAAATGCTGCAGTTTTCATGAGGCAACATGAGTGAGTCACTTAGTTAGTTTAAATAGTTTTATGTATATGATACTATAAGATAAATTGTCTAATGAGCTAAGAACTATACACACACATGACTTCTTCCTAGCTAGACTTAAGCCAACTTACAAATATAAATTATATTTACCACAAAAGAGAGTACTTACGTAATATAAGAGTCCATGGGATAGGTTACAAAATGCAGGCATATATCATTCTCGTCTTGCAGACGAGAATGATATATGCCTCTTAAAAAGGATATGTACTTGTAAACTAACTAAATATTTACGGTCAGTCTCTTGTCTTAATGAATCGTTGAAAACGATAAATTTATTTCTGCTGCTCTGAAAATTCTCATCCCCATAACCTTTAGAGGCCTTCAGTCGCCATTTTAAAATACCGTAATAGTTGACTTCAGAGAGCAGATGTTAAATGGTACAATGGCCTATGTATTCACATACATTCTCAATGGCACCTTGGCCTATGTATTCACATACATTCTCAATGGCACCTTGGCCTATGTATTCACATATATTCTCAATGGCACCTTGGCCTATGTATTCACATATATTCTCAATGGCACCTTGGCCTATGTATTCACATATATTCTCAATGGCACCTTGGCCTATGTATTCACATACATTTTCACCCATGCACTTGCCTATTATTCAATAATTTCAATGGCCTGGCCTATGTATTCACATATATTCTCAATGGCACCTTGGCCTATGTATTCACATACATTCTCAATGGCACCTTGGCCTATGTATTCACATATATTCTTAATGTGGGACGAGTTTCATGCTTTTATTATTCAAATCAATATATTCACCCATCTGCTTTACTATTATATCTACTTAATTATGTATGCTGGTTTATTAATTTACAGGTGTGAGTACCTGGTGATGAGAGAGGCTGTGAGTTACACAGACTCCACGGTGGTAACTACTGTCTCAGCTGTCAAGGAATCCAGAGGCGGTATTACGTGTTCTGGCTGCACTCTCAGTATGTTGAGTGGTACGCACTGTACGAATTCCGATCGGTATTATATGCTTGATGCACTCTCAGGTGTATTCGGTTGTAATGATAATATTTAGTATATCACTTGATCAGAGTATACCAGACAATCAACCCTCATGTCAACCCTGGCTGCTAGCCAGGTGGAGCTCGAACCCATCACAGGTGAGTCCTAAAACTCACAGGCCAGTGCGCTAACCACTCGGCCAGTTGGATCAAATAAGATTATGATTTCCTGAATCACTGTAACAACTTAGTGTATCTCTGCTTCAACTTATAAATATAAACATAATTGACAACCTCTTAGGATCATCAAGTGCTTTTTAAGTAGAATAAAAATGGATGGTATAGCAAGAACAGAAAATTTCTAATAAAATAATGAACTACAATATAAATTAAAGTTCTAAGGAATGAAATGTACAAACCACGGAATGGGTGGGGAGTGAACCCATGGCATGTGAGTCCTAAATCTCCCCACAGCCACCTTGGGGGGAGATTTATCTGTAAAAACGCGCATTTGTGGTCACAGTGATGGCTCATGCTAACCTCCCTATGGCGTACAGAAATATTCCTAGTTGGATGAATCTTATTTGAGGCAGGTAAGTCTTAAAACTCCAGGCCAGTGACTTACACACTGGCATGGATCACTTAAGATTGACACTGACTGAGACTGACACTGGATTCACTTAAAGACTGACACTGACACGGACTGAGACTGACACCAGATTCACTTAAAGACTGACACTGCAATGAAAAATTGCTAAATATATATCAACTATCGTATGTACAAAGAAAAAACACCTTATCTCTTGGAATTGGAACGTGACTGTATTAAAGTAAGTGTAAGTACTTACAAGTACTTGTAAGTACTAGCATAGATTAATTACATAAGAACATAAGAAAGAAGGAACACTGAAACAGGCCTACTGGCCTATGCGAGGCAGCTCCAATTCTCCCACCGGCTTAAGCCAATGCCTTGACCTAGTGAGGTCAGACACGTCACTTAGAGAGGAGCACGGCGTCCGGCCTAGTAGCACAAGCTAGTTAGGTCCAACTCACACCCACTCATGTATTTATCAAACCTATTTTTAAAACTACACAACGTCTTAGCGTCTATGACGGTATTCGGGAGTTTATTCCACTCATCCACAACTCTATTATCAAACCAGTGCTTTCCTATATCCTTCCTGAATCTGATTTTTTTCCAATTTAAAGCCATTGCTGTGAGTCCTGTCTATGTTAGATATTTTTAGCAGGCTATTTACATCCTCTTTATTAATTCCTGTTTTCTATTTTTACACCTCAATCATATCCCCCCTAATTCTACGCCTTTCTAGAGAGTGCAGATTCAGGACCCTCGGTCTATCCCCATAGGGAAGATTTCTAATACATGGGATCAACTTTGTCATCCTCCTTTGTACGTTTTCCAAAGCATTTATATCCATTCTGTAATACGGTGACCAAAACTGTGCAGCATAATCTAAATGAGGCCTAACCAGATATATAGAGTTGAGTTCTTCTATTATTTATACTTCTTGCTATGAAGCCAAGGATTCTGTTAGCTTCATTGCGAACACTAATGAACTGTTGCCTTGGTTTTAGATTATTACTAACCAGAACTCCTAAATTCTTTTTGCAATCCGTAATATTAATTAAGATCTGTATTATTTAGTTTATATGTGGCATGGTTATTTTCCTGTCCAACATTCAGAACTTTGCATTTATCTATATTAAACTGCATCTGCCACTTCTCCGACCACTGCATCAGTCTATTCAAATCATCCTGGAGTGCTCTAGTGTCCTCATTAGAAAGAATTGGACAACCTATTTTGGTGTCATCAGCAAATTTGCTTATGTCGCTATTCATTCCTCCATCTATGTCGTTTATGTAGATTGTGAGCAACAAGGGGCCCAACACTGACCCATATACTGAAGTCATATTCACAATATCATTTCCAGTACCATGATCTACTTCCTCAGACACCTTAGTGAAGAAAGTTAGTAAATTCGTAAGACAGGAACGCCCCTTAGTAAAACCACCGTGCTGAGATTCATTAATCAATTTATGCCTATCAAGATGGCTATGAATTGCTTCGGAAATTACCGATTCCATAAAATTTCTTACTATAGAGGTAAGGTTTATTGGTCTATAGTTCGAAGCTAAGGATCTGTCACCTGCCTTGTAAATAGGTATTACATTTGCCATTTTCCACTTATCAGGCACTATGCCAGTTTGTAGTGATATGTTGAAAAGATTAGCCAAAGGTATGATAAGTTCCTCTTTACATTCCTTAACACCCTTGCAAACAGTTCATCAGGGCCTGGGGATCTGTTAGGTTTAGTTTTTCTTTTTGTCTGAGGACCATGTCACTAGTTACCACAATCGTACGTAGTTTATTATCGTCCTGTTCTACATAATTTATTATTTCTGGAATTTCGCTAGTATCTTCCTGAGTAAAAGCTGAGAGGAGTTAAGAATTGAAAATTTCACACATATCCCTATCACTGTCAGTGATCTGACCTGAGCTACTCTTAAGTGGGCCTATCTTGTCTCTAATCTTACTTCTGTATACCTGAAAGAACCCTTTTAGGTTAGTCTTTGAATCCCTTGCAACCTTAGCCTCATAATCCCTGTTTGCTGTTCTTATTCCTTTTTTTATTACTCTCTTTAATTGAATATATTGATTTCCTAACTACCTCTCCCCTCTTTTGATACGCCTATATATGCCTCTCTTCTGACCAGTGACATGTTTTAATCTATTGTTCATCAATTTGGGATCATTTTTGTTAGATCTAATTTCCCTACTCGGAACATAAGTTGTCTGAGCTGCTAGAACTATGCTCTGAAAAAACGTCATATTGGCAACCAAGATTACCTACCTAACCCATAGTCAAGACATCCCAATTTACCCCACCCAGGTAATTTTTCAGTCCCATGAAATCGGCCAAGCGAGAATCTGGGATAGAGATGCAGTTATCTGGGTAATTCCATGATATATTGAAACTAAGTGATTTGTGATCACTTTCCCCTAGCTCATCATTAACCTCAAGATTATTGACTGGTAATTCTTTGTTGGCAAGAGCCAAGTCAAGTAGATTGTTTCCTCTTGTTGGTCCTGTCACAAACTGCTTTAAAAAGCATTCCTGAACACTAAAAGGAAAAGTCACAAGACTCAAGTTTTCCCCTGTCTTTTTGTTAAAAACAATTTGTCTAAATTTAAAAAATCTCCCATTAACAACAAAATTTTCCATATCAAAAGGCCTTTAAGATTTCGCCCCCATAGAAAATTTTAACTGCCACGGCCAATCAAGGTTTGGGGGGCCTAAAAATCACAAACCAAGGATTAACTTTTCAGACCCTGGGAGAAACTGTACCAAACAAATTCGTGTCCATTTTCTAATCTTAAAACTTTCTAACACAAAAAATTTTAAAATTTACTCTGACTACAACGCCACACCCACCCCCCTCCTTTTGACCCTATCATTTGTAAAAATTTTTTATAACCCTGAATTTTGGGCATTCAAAGGGCTTTTCCCTCTATTTTTCCCGGGTTTAAAACCGGGTCTCTGTTATAGCAATAATTTCTATTTTAAACCTTCACTCCAATTTTCCTTAGCCATCAATTTTTTTTTCTTAGACTCCAACAAATTTGTTTTAGAAAAAACCTTAAGGGAGCTAGTCACCCTTGCCCTCTACAATTTTCTCTTTGTTTTTTTTTGATTGATTATTTTCCTTTACTAGCAACTTTTTTTTTTGAAATATTGCCTTTTAAACATATCCCTGGGGTATGGGGGTTTGAAATCGCTTTTTTCCCAAACCCTAGTACTGCAGTTTGAGTTTTTTCCCTACAGAACCCCCAAATACCTCTATAATCTAGACAAGTTCATCAATGACCCCCCCAATCGAACGGGTTTAATGCAACACAATAAATTTTAAAAGAATAAATTAAAAAAATGGTATGGGAAGATAACAAACCAAAGAGCCCACCTTGCTGAAACAAGAGATAAAAAAGTTTGCCAAACACCCAATTAAATTTGGTACACACAAAAGAAAAGAAAACACAAAACCCAAAACAAAAAGAACAAAGAGTTTCCCGACATAGCCCTAACTGGGGACAACAGTTTTGCCTTCAAAAAGTCACAAAAAACCCAGATTACTAAAACTGAGTTTCAAAATTTTAAAAAGGGACGACAAACCAAACTTTGTGTAGATCCCCTTTTTGAAATTTTTAGATCAGAGTTAAAATTTTTGGACCTTCATAAATTAAATGCCCCCGACTTACAGCCAAAAAAATGTAAAAAAATTAAAAATTCCAATAAAAATTTTCGAGAAGATATTTTTCCAAAAGGAACAAAATTTATATTCCCCGGCATAAAACAAGAAAAACGCTTTCCCCAAAAAACTGTAAAAGAAAAGGGGAACAGCTTTGACCCACCCCCTTTTTTCCCAAATGTGGCTGGGGTGAAAATAAAGTGGGGGTTTTTGTGAAAACCGGAAAATTGGGGTCTCACCCGTGAGCGCCAAGATTCCCATTTTGGCCCTAGACAGCCCAAAAAAAACCATAACAACCCCAGAAAATTTTAAATTTAAACACATTTTCTCTCAGTGTAAAAAAGTATTGAAAAAAGATACTTTTTGTTTAAAAACATAAAAAATTTAAAACTTTTTAAGGAAAATTTTTAGTACCCCTTATCCCACTGTGTGTAGTGTTGCGTAGAGTAAAATTGTAAAAAAAGTGGGGGAAAAAAGGGTTCCCACATTTTGAGGGTAGAATAGTTCATGCCTTGTGCAGCAGACTTTATACAGTGTGTAGTGTGTGATGGTACACATTATCTTTTTATCGGGCGGGAAATTAAAATTTTGGGAAAGGGGTAAAAGAAAAGAGCTGCTAGATAAGTACGGGTCCCTATAAATTTCGTTAAGTCTAAGGGGGGGGGCCCAAATCAAAATGAGCATCTTGCCTAAAGGGGGGGTAGGAAATAATGGTTGCCCTGGGGGAAATTGGGGGAAATTTGCGGGCAAACAATATTTGTATCCCTTTCCCCTTTGGGCAACTGGAAAAACCCTTTTTTGGCAAACAGGGAAAATGTAGGGAAAGGGGTTTGGGGTACATCTCCTGGGGCTGGGGTGGAACACTTGCAAACTCATTGAAAAGGGCCATTGG